GTCCCAGGTCACGTCTTGAGAAAATTGCTGAAATAATGGAGGGGGCATTTTTCAAGCAGTGCTGCAGCTCCAACAGCTATGTTTACTTTAACGCTTCACTAGTGACTTCTGATTGGTTGTCATGACCTCATCTCACTGTTGCACCTAGAATGTTGCAACAGTGACATAGACATACCCTTGTTGTGAAAAAGATGAGAATAAACACAACATACATCTTTCAGAAAAGATGAATGGGCAGTGGTTTGTCCATTTTAACCATGGGTAGACGTAGTTTATAGATAAAACACTTTGGGTTTCATTTCCCTTGAGGATGAGCACCTTTCTTCTTTCAAACCAGGCAGATAGAATGCTGAACTTGAAAAATATGATTGATAAATCTGTGTAAAGTGATCTTTTACAGAGCTTCAGCTGAAGACCAAAACGGACAGTTCTACAGGTCAAAGGATTCTACTCTGGCCCCTGACCTCTTTGGTCACGTTGGTCACATGTGGCTTTCAGTATCTGTAGGTTAATATGCAGAGCTGAGGACTTGCACCTGATTTGTTATTTAAACAACCACAAGAGATTTGAAAAGATGTAGAATTTGCTTCTGTTTTCTGTTTCCTTATAACTGGTAATTAATAGGCACATTAACTTGGATAAATCTTAAGTTTTACCAAGATTTCATTGGAATCAGAGTACATTCAGGTTTTGGTCAGGCATTTACAAATGTTAGCTATTTGTAGAATCTTCTTGACAAGTACCTTTCTATTCTGATTTAATTTCTTTAGCAAGGTTTCCTCTTTGGTTCTTTGTGTTTGGCATCACCTATCTGTTTTAGACCTCTGACCTAAACCATCATTTGTTGATTGAATGATAAATGGACTATTATTTATTAGTAAGTGCATCTTACAGACTTGAAAGTAAAGGAGGCTTGGAGACCTGTGTATTCTGTTTAAATCACAGCAGACCCTTATGCTGAATAAAATACTATGTCTAGCAATACAATTTTGAGGGTTTCTGAGTAAGATTCCATGGCTTATACCTTATAAACACAGTTCTGAAAATGAAACTACAGTTATTGCTACAAAGGATAGAAAATGGAATGAAATAAATGAAAGAGATAAAGCTTAACGTTTACCAATATCTGTCCTCTTGATCACTTTCTTGATCTTCTACTAGACTGTACACTCAAACATAGGAGTTAATTAACAACTTTATATATGCTTTATATATGCTTTGTCTCTTGAAATGTTGGATATTGGAATTGATTTGGGTAAATCATTATGCAAGATGCCAGAAGTCTTATTTATTTAGTTGTGGAATGTTAGATAATCATTTTGATCATTTTGTGTTGTTAAAGATGTTTCCATGGATGTTTGGAATGACCTACCTTTTCATCTTATAGAAACTTAGCATGAATAATTAATTAAATATAAAAGGAATACTTCAGTATAAAATGTTTAAGGTTATAAGCATTTGTTATGGAGGCTTCCTTGTTAAGAGTGGCAATGTACATTTTTTATGATATTATACATCTTATTTATATGATATATATTTTTTATAAAGTTTTGTAAAACTTTATGGGTATGTTTAAAGGTCAAAATAGGATCTCTTTTTATTCTGTGTGTATTGGTTGAGTTTTGGGGAATAGGGAGATTTTTTTAAATGGCATTTATTCTGATTTTTTAAGACATTGATATTGCATTTAAATTGATATTGCATTTAAAACAGCTAAATTTAACTATTGGTATGTTATGTGCCTTGTTTTACTTTGACTATTTACTTTGGTACCTTGATTTCAGTATATTAATGTTGACATGGCAAAAATCTCTGTAGCTTCATTATATAATGGAATTTTGGGGCAGTATTTATATTGACAGAGAAAAGGAAAAGATGACGTTTTACTACATATCTGTGGTTACAGCATGTAAGTGCGGAAGTTTATTTTGTTGCTCCAGTTTTCTGTTCCTCATTATAAAACGGTTATTAATGGTCTCTGTGAATATTGCATTAACTAATTTATCAGGAAAATTTTAATTGAAAATGTAAGTTTTTCACAGAATGGCAATTGAATTTGCAACAAAGACATTTATTAAAATTAGCTTTCATTTCTGCAGAAAGTGTTCCTGAACACTTCTTGATTGTTATTCCATTAATTAAGTTGGCAGTATGAAATATCTAAATGATAAAATATTTTCTAAATAATTCAGAGGTTTAAAAAGAAGCATTCATTGTTTGAAATCTAAATGCTAAAAATTCTTTAATTGATTTATATAGTGGTGATTTAAAAATAGAATCATTTTTCATCAGTTGATGCCTCGGTGAAAAATTGACATTGTGTCTTTATAAAATTGGACAAATGAGTCATGTAATTTTCAGTTACATAATCAATAACTTAGACAAATACTACTTCTTTGATGATTTATGTGTGTCTGATTTTTATACTTATGTAGATAGGACACATCAAATTTCAGAGTCCATTTAAAATCAAGTAAGCCTAATAATTTTTCAATCCATGATTTCCAAAAATTGAAGTAAAAACTTAGGCTCATACAAATATGGTATTATGAAAATAATGTACCTAGTGGTTAAGTTAAAAATGAGGGCAAAAGTTTTATCAATGTAGGGACTAAATTTTGTCCAAAGAGTTTACCTTTATTTGGAATTCATTCATGGTGCAAAGGTGATGCTCACATCCTATCAATTTATTAAAGTCCAACTTTGTTACATAGAGTTTGATGTTCATATTATCATTGAAATGTGGTCCATCACTATTTTCATCTCTAAGAGTTCTAAGACTCTATTTTGGGTTTGCTACTTCTAGCTCATGTATGTACGTACGTGTGTGTGTGTGTGTGTGTGTGTGTGTGTGTGTGTGTGTGTGTGTTTAAAGTTCAATTCACTCAGGAAGGCAGGGAAGAAACATGACAGGAGACCACTTACTCACGGTACAGAATCTAGTAAGGAGGCAATTTTCTTTTTGGCCTGTGGTGACCTTTTTTGACTATGTTCCTTACACCAGAGACAGTGTATGAATGCCTCTATTTCACCCTGTTTAGCAGAGTGCAACAGTGTTCTTTAACTTACTTTTGGTGGGAGGAGAAGTTATAGCTGAAATTTGAGAAGGGCATGAAAAGTTTTAAGAGGCACAAGGAAGAGGGGTAGGAACTTCCTTCAAATGTGATTTTAATAACTAGTCAAGTGTGTCCAACTGTAGAAAATCACCAAGTGACAATCTGTCTACCTGACAGTGATCACAATGAATTACAAGACTTTTGAATAGCTATACAGATTAGAATAAAGCAGGATCAAATAAAATATCTTTTGTTGGTAAAACTTTGACTTCTCAGCTAAGACACTTAAAAACAAAACAAAACAAACAAAAAGCCCTTATCATGCCCTTTGATATTGAACTTTTAAATTTCAAAATTGGTAAAGTATTTTATAACTTTTCATAAGATGGTATTTATTTAAAAGTTTTCTTTGAATACAGATTAAGGAATATGTAGGGGGGTTGTTAATCAGTTTGGTATGTATTATTATACAGTTTTCATATGTGTAAGATAACTATATCTTAATTAACAGCCCTATCACTAAAATCACAGCTTCAGTGAACTTCACACCCTACAAACTTTATCATGGTTTTAGACAGTAATACCAACTGATTGGGTGAAAAATTTTTTGAAAAATCCCAGTGAAATTTTTATGTCGATTGTGAAATCAACTACTAAAAAATCAAGTCAATGCAGCAGTGTAGCATATTTAACAATAAGATAATTGAGTCTGTGCTAATCTTACTCTATTATTACTGCTATCACTTATTTTTTAATCATATTATGGTTGATTTGGCAAAAAAATAAGTAAGTTTTAATGTTGAAGTAGTTCTACAGTTATAGTTTTGGAAAAAGTATACTGTTTTCTTTTTCACTAAGGATGAAATTTTTTAAAATTTTACTTTCCATGGCTCTTACATATTTTTATCATAATCTAATACCTTTTTAAAATATAACCTTACAGGATTTTACAAGGCAAAATTGGGACACACACACTATAGATGTGAATAGGAAATAAAAGTTATCAGTGGCTTCACAAATTTATGTTGCACATGCTTGTCAGTGGAAATTGTTAATTTCTTCTCTATTTTCTCATGGTTAAATTATTCCATCAGTTATAACGTCATATAAATACCATAAGGGTTCTTAATTATAACCAGAGAAATGTTTGCATTGCTAGAATTGTCAGACAGGAAAACACATTTCTAAAACTTTAAAGAAGGTATTAAAGCTCAGTAAGCTGTACTTTAAACTTTGGGACTTGTTTCCTGGAACTGGTGCCTAATAAAGAGAAGTTTTTATGGTAGTTAAAAATGAAAGAAATTTCAAGATTAAATAATTGCTGCCACACATTATACTAAGACATTATTTTTGTATGAAAGAAGAGACGTGGAAAAAATACAAGGTGCACAGGTAGACATTATATGTTCCTGATATTAGAGATACATAAATCTGTAGACCGTGTTAGATTAATTTTATTCCTTAATTGTGTATTCTTGAATTCAAACAAAAAATGCTCATTAAAGTGCAACTGTAAGGGAAAGAATATCTAACAAAATGTGGTTTGATATTTAAACTTCACTTTCAAAGAGGGCATTTTCTCAAAATGGGTATTTAAAAATTAATGTGGTTTGAAAGTGTGCTTGTTATTTGATAATTTATTTCAGTTATTTGGGGGGTTCTGTGAGATCTGAAGTACTTTTAAAAATATATAACTTTTATAATCCTTATGTTACATTTTTGTTCTTACAAATAATGTCTGCTTATTTATATACACAATACAGGCAAACCATTTTAAACAACTTTTTGTCAGAAAAATTAAAACTATAGTCTTTTATAAAGAAATACTTTTGTGAATATGCAACTATATTAAATCACTTTCTATGAGATTTTACAGATTTTTTTTTTATGAATTGAGATGGTTTCTAAGATTAAATTCTGCTGCCTTCTTTGCTTTCAAAACAGGAAGGATACGGAGTAATAGTGCTGAATCCCAATGAAAACTATATTGAAGTAGAAAAGCCAAAGATACATGTACCGTCATCTTCTGATAGTTCAGATGAACCTGCAGAAAAACGGGAAAGAAAAGATAAAGTCTCTAAAGAAACAAAGAAACGACGTGATTTCTATGAAAAGTATCGTAACCCCCAAAGAGAAAAAGAAATGATGCAGCTCTATATCAGAGTAAGTGATAAGATTATAACTTTCCTTCATTATTTCTTTTACTTTATCTGTATTTTATTCATATGAATTTATTTTATTAAAAGAAACAATTCTTTAATTTTTAACCATTCATTTCCCATGGTTGTTATTGGATGAAATGGTTTCTTTTTTATTCATTATTACAAACACGTCATTCTTATTTCAGTGTGATATTTTACTGAAGTCTCAAAAGCAATTAATAATGCACTGTACCAACATCAGTCTTCATCTTGGGTGGTAATGGTTTTAATGCATTGTTTTCCTATGAGCAACTATCCATCCACAGTGTTTCAGCTTAACTTCTGGAGGCAGATGGAGGGAGGAAGAGTAATTAATATCTTAATAAATATTTAAACTAGAATAGTTTAGGGATAGTGTAATGAGGGAACTCTCTCCTTTGCTCTTTTCTTACCCAGTGAACCTTTGCACTTTGCAATGCTAACAGCATGGGATTGTTATAGTAGTGCTACTCAAGGAGTTCTGATTCGTAGGAGGCACAAACAATTTTATTTGCACTTTGACACATTCTGCTTGATATACATACTGAGCATTGTATATATGAGACAGATTTATGCAATTTTCAAAGCCTGTATTATGGGTCCTAGAAATAGAATTTAATAGTAAATCATGTCAAAAATGCTACTTGGTTTGTAAAGTAGTAAATTGATATGTTCTTTAAAAGTGAGCAATTCAGAACATTTAAACATAGACAAATTAACACTTTATAAATTATATTGTAAGATAGGAGTGAAGTTTCAAATTATTCAGTTTGAGCTATTTTTACATTTCCTTTAAAAGCTCACTAATAACACATTTCATACCATCTTTGAGGGGAATAGATGACTTTCTAAGTTATTTTCTTCATTCTAGCTAATGGCATAATCACTATACTTTTGGGAATGACACTCTACACATCCAAGACTATAGGTCAGTTTGTTGAGTAAGCCAGGGCAGTTAAGCAGTATGAAAGCAGCATATAAATTCTTAAGACCCAAAATTGTATCCAGACCAAGAATACCCAAAGCTCATCATACAGCGACTCAAGTAAAACTTAGTCAAATTGCCATATTAGAATTTCTGAAAAACATCTCACTATTTAATACATTATTTGAAAAGCAAAAACCGTGATTAAATTGGAATCAGTTATGTTACCACTTTTCTTTCCTATGGCTGCATAAGGGTCAGGATGTCACCTTCTTCTCTCTACGTTGTCCTAAGCTTCCTAATTATATGATCCAGTCTATCAACCATCATTTTAGGACAGTTAAAAAACATTCTGATATCCAGATTTCAAAAATGAATTGAAAAAAGTTTTTGAAATCTACAAATCATTAAGAGCATTCACTTGCTTATGTTAAATGGAAAAAAAATAAAAGTGATTTTGTGTATTAAGTTTTTTTATTTTTTCTTACACAGTTTCCTTTATTTGGCTATGATATGTGCAGATTAAGCATTTATTTATGACATCAGTATTTTAGGTTTTATATCCTCTATTTCTCTATCTCTTATCACCATTGCTTCGATATTATTCTTTTGTTTGCATGTGTGCATTTTTTGTTTGTTTTCAAATCTGTTTCATTTGAAACAGCCTCTATTTTTTTATATATATAAAGGGAGAAAATTTTTTTTAATTTTGCTTCATTTTATTTACATGTTATTTGAATTTATTTATTTTGTATTTAAATCCAAGCTTGTTAACATACAGTGTAGTCTTGGCTTCAGGAGTAAAACCCAGTGATTCATCTGTTAACATATGACACCCAGTTCTTTTCCCAAAACGTGCCCTCCTTGATGCCCATTGCCCATTTAGCGCATCCCCTCACCTGCCTCCCCTCCAGCACCCCTCACTGTGCTCTCTGTATTTAGGAGTCTCTTATGTAGTTTGCCTCCCTCTCTGTTTTTGTTATTTTTCCTTCCCTTCCCCTATGCTCATCTGTTGAGTTTCTCGAATTCCACATTTTGCTTCATTTTTAAGATCTCTCTTTCCCTTCATTTTTTTTCCTTTAATTCTTTTTTCTATTTTACATTCCTGCCATTTTTTGCTTCTTATCATGTCTTTTTTGCTTCTTCCTTTCTTGTCCCACTTCACTCATCAGTCTCAGTTTCCATTGAAAGCATTTAAAGCAAAAACAGCAAAAAATATCATTTAGATAACACAACTATATACCTGAATAGTCTTAGTTAAGAATGTCATTTTTCCTTAATAAATACTCTTTCTCTTAAAATCTTCTGGAATTGTGCAGAAAAGCAGAATTAAGCTGGTACTCTTTAAACATACTTCTAGATAGTAAGGTGTAGTCTTGTGTTGAGAAAGACAGGAATTGTTCATTTTCTGTAAGGTGCATGAATTCTTAGATAATTTTGATCCACTTTAGAAGTGACTTTTTCTTATACACTCCTTCCAACTACATGTCTCCAAAAAGTGTTTGTAATTTTCAGACACAGAGCATGGTACATGATGGAGAAAATTAGCATTCACTTATACACTTCTTGGGGTGCCTGGTGGCTCAGTTGGTTAAGCATCTCCCTTTTGCTCAGGTCGTGATCTCACAGTTCGTGAGTTCGAGCCTCACATTGGGCTCTCTGCTGTCAGTGTAGAGCCCACTTCAGATCTTCTGTCCTCCTCTCTCTCTGACCATACTTCATTCACTAGCGCTCTCTCTCGCTCTCTCCCTCTCTCAAAAATAAACTTTAAAAAATGATTTAATTTATGTATTTCTTAACCATTTACATTTTGAAATTGATTATCTCTTCATTGGAACAATCCCATAAGGTAAGGGGATCAAATATTTTTATCCTTATTTTATAGTTAAGGAAACTGATGCACAGATGGTTCATTTTTGTCTAGGATCACATAGGTAGTAAGTGGTAGAAGTAAATGTTGAAACCAGGACTTCTAATTATGGCAGATTCTTGCTCCTTTTCTTCTCTATCACATTGTTCTAACAAGTTGCAAACAAAATATATACATGAAATATGAATTTTAAACCAACCCTAATAAAAGCATGATATGATATACTAAATGACATCTGGGATGATTAATGGATTTTTGATCAGTTATTTAATAGGTGCTATTAAATATCTGTGAATAACATAATACATATTTATAATATGTAAGTAACAAATGTATATAAATATATGTATGTGTATGTGTATACATGTGTATACATGGCTTTGAATGTAAACTCTGTGAGGGCAGGGACTTGGTCTTTTTTGCTCACTGTTACATCTCCAGAGCTCAGAAGAAAGTCTTCATAATAAATATTTCTAGAACAGAGCCTTTACAATAAAATTTTATTTGATAAATAAGGTGGTAGAGCCAGGATTAAGATACCAAACTACTACTCTACTGTTTTGTTTTGTTTTTTTTAAATATGATCAGCATCATTAAAGTATGCTGCTTGATTCTCTAAGGAAACAATCAAACAAACCAAAATAAACAAAGTTACATTATTGGTCACCTGCCTCATTTCATTGGCTGAGAATACATTACAAAAATTGATGATAAAAAGTCAGTTCCTCAAGATTTATTTGATACCTTGATCTCTATATTTTCATCTGAATATGTAAAAGTGAGAAAACTGGTTTTCTTTTTTAATTATATCATTAGGATGATAAAATTATGGATGAAAATGAAAATATTTCATCCTGATCTACTGCTATTTCTGTTTTACATACTTGCTCATAAATGTAAAGCCAGGCTGTTGCACTTGATCTACACTGTACACACTTTGTGCTTTATGGGAACTGTAACGTTGCTTCCTGTTCTTTCCTTTCGCCCAAATTCTCTCCATGTTGTAGTTCCCAGCTGAAATCTCACCTTTTCATATCACCATAATCATAGTCCTCTTAATAGATGTTGTTGTGAATGGTTAACTGTAGAATTTATCATGTGCTGTCTTGAGATATCTCTTGTGTTTTTGTTTCATAATATCATCAATATGTATCTTTCATGCTGTCCTCTAGGTCTCCCCATATTCCTGGAGATCTTTAAGCATACTTTATAGGTCAGTCCTTAAAAATAAACAGGTATGAGCAAATTTTTACAGGAGTACAGAGCATGCTCTGAAGGAGTCGGGAACTGATAATAAACCCACTCACTGGAATCCAGTCTCCTCCAAGGAGAGCAAAGCAAAGAGACTAGGCCTTAGTTCAGGGACACCTAGGTAATGTGACCTGCAGCATAAAAATGAGGGTTATTCTGGTGTCAGACTGGATCATAAGAGGACAAGTACTCAGACTAAGGAAGATCAGTTAAAAGCACCTACAGTATGTAGGTGGAATATAGGCAAAACTGACTTGATGCTGAATTATGCAATACTGAGTTAGAACTGCTTGAATATCTCTTCCCTAAGAGACTTAGTTGTGGCCTGTGGTGATAGGAAGTAAAGAAGAGAGATTAGAACCAGGTTTAAAAAAAAAACATTCTGGGTGTGGAAGAGGAAAGGAAATTACATGGCCACAGAAGGAAAAACCCAAATATGGAAGAGACATTTACAGAATAAGATGCTTGGCACAGCCTGGCATTACACATTGAAGGTACTCAAATATTTATGGCTTGATTGCTTGTTGACATCCATCAAAAATCTCATCCCTTCACATGAGAGAGATTTGGTGTCTAGTTTTCTGACGGATTTTTTTCGGCATTTAAGTGAATTTTTGCAATTATTCAGAAACAGCCAACTGATAAACTAACTGAAGCTTTCTTTAAAAAAAAAAATATGTTTTTGACACTCTGACTTTATGTTCAAAATACTGGTGAAGGCTGATAAATATCTCGTTTCCTCCCCTGTACCTGTTCTCTTCTGTGCTAATGCTGCTGGAGCCATTTCTATCTTGTGTTTTAACAACCAGATTTTATTTATATTAGTCAATGATTGTATAATCTCTGGAACCATTTTAAATTCCTAGTATATTTAAGTATTTGAATTTTTGTTTTTATGGAATCTAATAAATAGGCAAAAATCTGCTTTCAAATTTTT